ATTGTCATTGTAAGTATATACACAGTATACCCATACAATGAAATTCACAGACACCCAGAGACCAGACACATGCACACACATAAAATTCCCCCAAACACTCCCTACCCACTAAATATATGGTCTTCATTACAGATGCTTAAAAATCTCTTTCTCCCTATGTGTATGCAGGTGTCCATAAATTTTGCCCTGTTCAGCAATTACATAGTTTGTTCAAGGAGGGGAGTGTCTTTGTCCCTCTTACCTGTGACATCCCAAAGAAGCTGGAGCCCTGATGTAATACTGAAATATATTACATTGGCTGCTGGGAATCTGTCTTAGGTGTTAGCAAATGATACTGCTTTCTTGGGTTAGAAAACATTGCTGTCATCACTCCAGCCTGTCACTTCTCTTTCAGCACTGAAGAAACTTCCATAAGTATCCAAGCTTTTCTTCAGGAATCAGAAATCGTTCCCCTTTCCTTGATGTATCAATATCTTCATGCAGATATAGAAACTCAAGTGACAATTGCATCAGTTATTTTAGCAGGTGTTTATGCGCTGATCATTTTTGAGGTAAGCACTTTATTCTTGTTCAGGAAGAACAAGAACAGTTTATTTCTGACACTTAGCTGTGTTTCTAAAATATGAGGAGGAAACCTGGGATAGCTGCTGCTTCAGTTCCTGCTGTGTACATTTATTGTGTTGGTTCATTCTCAGTAACTATTCATTCTCGGTATCTTCCCATCCTAATTTTAAATCACTATTTTTATTGGTTCCAAAACCAGCTGTAATATTAGATCCCAGTTTCATCTATCCTAACAAAGAAAATAAAATGCATTGCTTTATTGTTGCAAAGAATGTTGCAACCAGTTGATATCAATAAAAATCTACTGTACACATAATGTAACTAACCTGATTGTAACTGAAGAAGTGAGTATTTACCACTATTAATGATAAAATAAAATACTTGATGCAGTTGAAAGCAGGAATGTATGGAAGAGGCTGTGCTGATTCTAAATGGAGAAGGACAGAATTTGTAGTATAATCTTTACCTTAGAAATAACCTCGCCTTGTCTTTCCTACTGCAGAGTTATTGATTAATCTACCCAAGGGTGTGATCATATGGGGAAATAGATTGCTATCTGAATTGCTTGTGGAATGGTCTGATTTGATCTGTTTCTTGACAATCACATGACATACAGGAAGTGTGTTCCAGTCTTGATCCATGCCCAAGCTGGACTTTTTTGGTCCTGGTGTAGGGCTCCTATTTTTGGAATCCTCAGGAGACAGAAGGGTTGCTTGAAGGGAGGTCACTCCTGTTAAAGCAGCCCTTTCTATTGTGGTCAGTTGTGTACCTCTGTAGCCATCTGATTACACTTTCAGTCAGTTCTGTTATGAGACATTGCTTCAGCCATCCAATATCTTCCATGGAGCAGCAACATGAGGGGCCCACAGCACAACATATTTTAGGTTCAAGGAAGAGGAAGAAAGGACAAGGAAGAGAGAGGCAATGAGTGGAAAGTGGGAGGGTTTCCCCCACCTTTCTTTCTCAATAGGAATAAACTGTTTATCACCTCCACCCCCAGCCCCTGATCAAACCTGCTTATTGTTCTGATGGAGAGTTGAAGAGCAGGCTAAGAAAGGAAAGAGGATGAGGTGAAACATATGAAGACAGGGCATGCTCCCTTCATTCCTTTTTTAGAAAGGAATTAAGGAAGAGCATGTCTATTGCCCATTGGAAACCACTCCTTCCCTGTGGCTGCCTGAGGAAGCCATTCTGCTCACTGGCAAAGCTGAAGCATTCTCTCATGTGGCTGGAGAAAGGAAGAAAGAGCCTGCACCTCTGCAGACTGCCATTGCTCTAGCCAGCTTCTGTCCTGCATGCTCAGGGCCCTCTAAAACTATGGGTTTCTGATACAATGACACCATGTGCCATGGCTTTACCTTGCCATCTAGATTTCCCAAGTTGCAGGAATGGGGTTTTGCCTAGTTATCTAGAAATGTGCAAATGCCAGCACAGACACAGCTTGAATAAGCTGCAGAAGGACACAATCAGACCTTGCCCTATGAGCAAGACTGAATCCAGAGCGGGGTAGAGGTACAGAAGCCTGGTTCTTGTTTATCATCTGTTACTCTTGACTCTATGCAAATCATGTTCAAAATTATCATTGTTTGGGTTCCTGCTGAATCCCAGACATCCTTAATCCCTGACAGGAATCCCCATCCTATCCTTGATTCTTTTTAAAAAGTGTCTCTTAAGCACCTCTGATTGACTCCAATCCCAGCAGAAGTTGTTGTGATCCTCATTCCTCTTTAGATCAGAAGAGTGTCAAGGTGGTATTGCAAGTCAATGGCAAGAGAAGAAGAAGGTTTCAGTGTCAGGACACCATTTTGAGCGTCTTCTTTTCATCAGCACACTGTAGTCTTCTGCTGAGTATGTGTTGCTTTGACTGTGCTGCTTATACCTGCAAGAAGTTTGGTATCCCGACGGAATGTTGCCCTTTGGAACAAAATAGAATAACGGGACATAATCTAGAAGGGGAATGCAGAAAGGCATGGAGAGACTGTTAGGAAACTGTGGAAAGGTGATCTGCACCATCTGTCAGCATTTGGTGCCTGAGTAGGAAGTATGGGTTTTGTTGCTGGTTGCTTCCTTAGACCCTAGTGGGCATCTCACCTGAACCTGTTGAAATTTACCGTGAATAGTTTGTGAAATCAAATTTACATTGTCTTTTGGCTCTGGTCTTGCAGTTCTCTTGATTGGCACTTTTCCTGTGGTGGAGAAGTTCCTGTCTAGGGCTCAAACTCTCACAGAAGAACAGGACTAGCCTGTTAGGCATGTTGTGAGGTGGTTGTGAGGAGGATGGGGGCCATGCCCAAGTGCACTGCTTGTACCACTAGAAGGTGTGCCCTTTATTCCTGCAGGGCTTCTTCTTGTTGTTCTCACTTCTTTCCTGATGTTGTGAGGTGGTTGTGAGGAGGATGGGAAGCATGCCCAAGTGCACACCGCTTGTACCACTAGAAGGTGTGCCCTCTATTCCTGCAGGGCACTCCTTTCCTACATTCTAGTGCCACAGTGTGCCCCTGCTCACTTCCCTCTGCTCATTTCTGTGCCTCCTCCTTGCTACTACCTGCCTATAGACAAAGAAACCCTGGGGGAGAGGGGCTGGTGTTACTTGATCAAGAGCCAGTTAGGACTGGGCTGGCAAGGAGATGGGGCACATGTGGGTGGTGGCAGTCTGGGCAAACATGCAGCAAGTGGTAGCTCAGTGGATCCAGCTGCAGCAATTCTTCTTTTTCCTTAAGCAGGAAACATCATTGGATTGCAGTGGAGTATCAGGGGGTGAGAGAAATTATCTCAGTGACTTCCTTGCAACCAAACAACTCAATTCTCTCCCCCTTTCATATATGTTTTCTGGGTGAGCTCTATCATTAGGTACAGTGGAACAACTGCCTCAGGCAGCAGATTTTTGGATGATTTAGGTGGGCAGCAGATTACTAATCATTTAAGTGATTTGACTGCCAGGGACAGTGAGAAGTGCCTGAAGAACTTTCCCATCATAACCTGGCTGGCTCTGGATACTGTGCACCTTGACATGTGTCAGTAGGGGGTGCCATTTGCTGCTGTGCCTCAGGTAGCAAAACATCTGGGTATAACCATGTTTCTCATAACCAGATTTTCCAACGGGATCCTTCGTCTTTATAGGGCACAATCAATTTAATGTTGCTTCATTACTGTATATTCAATCACTCCCTTTGGTTCTAAGTTTCTTTTATGGTTGTGGGTGGCTGGGTGTTTTTCCTAGTTGGAAAGATTTCCTTTCTGTGCAATATGATGGGAAGTATATTTGTGGCTGGAAGTTGGGAATGCTCTTAACCACTGGGCGGCGCTGCTTGCTATTCTAAAGCTTAGACGCTCCTCTCACTTAGCTCTTGAGTGCATGCTTTAGCTTAGCTTTCCTGCACAGATAGGGCTGTTTCCCTGCCAACAATCAGCATGGTGCCAGTTTTTATTTCCACTAAGAAGCAGTAGACCAACTTTCAAGAGCACCCTATTTATAGATATTTTTCTCCTACCTCACAAAAATCAACTTTGCAGTGTGTCACATTTTTGATACGAGATGTGCATGTGCCCCATTCTGCCTTGCATTTGTGTTTGTGTTTTCTGGTGGAGGTGGCAGCTGAATATTAAGCTAAGTTAATCGAATGCTACTGTACAGCTTCCAGTCTGCCCAAGGCAATCAAGGGGAAAAGAAAGCCACAAAGTCTTTAAAATTTAGCAAGATGCAACAATACTCCACAGATGCATGTACCTTTCACATGCCTTCACACTAGAGATGGGGGTATTTTTATTTGTATACGAGTACCCCATCTCTACTTCACACTTTAAACTCGTTTTGTATTTAGCAGTGAAGGGTTTCTTCCTCTGAAGAAAAGCAAAGTGTAGCAAATGAATGGCTACTGAAGAAAGAAGCTAGAAGAGGTAAAAAGCTTTAAAAATGTAGGGAGAAAAAGTGTCAAAACCAGGTAAAACATTAAAAGCAAAAGAAACAGTCATTTCAAGGGAAGCTGAAATTTTTAATTTGAAAAAGAAGCAACTAAATGGTATGTGCCTAGCTTAATACTGTTTTTAAAAAGCAACTTTTCTAAGCTCTGATATGGGTGTGCGTGTTCATGGATGGACGGGTAGATATGGTAGGAAATATTTAAATATGACTCTGCCTAGGTTTTAAAATAATCAACAGAGGTCTTCCTTTAGGTCCCGTCATCCTCACAAGCCTGTTTGGCTGGGATGCAGGAGAAGGCCTTTTCTGTTGCTGCTCCCAGACTTTGGAACTCCCTCCCACAGGAGGCCAGGCTGGCCCCAGCTTTCTTGTCCTGCAAGTGGACAAAATCCTTTCACTTCAGGCAGGCTTTCCTTTAAATTACTGGTTGAACTAGGGGATTTTTAAAAGGAATTATTTTATAGCATTGTTTTACTTGGGTTTTTAAATATTGCTCTTATTTTTGAGTTTTAATATGATATTGGTTCAATTCTTTTCAATGGTTTATTATTTTAGCTTTTAACTTTGTGTCTTTTAATACTATAGGCTGCCTTGGATCCTTTAACAGACGGAAGTATATACGTATTTTAAATAAAATAAAATAACCTTGGCCACCTCGTACAGTCCTGCCTCCTCTTCCTTAGAAGAGTAACTAGCTCATCTTTGATCTTTGATGGTAATAAATTTTACAAAACAAAGCAATTCTGACTTTTGACTAAGAAGTGGTGTCACTAACATGGGCCACCCCCAGCAAAAAGGTACTCAAAGGCAAAGTCAACATTATTTATAGTCATGTTTATCATTAGTACCCAGTGTGGTGTAGTGGATAAAGTAATGGACTAGGACTCTGGAGATCAGGGTTTGAATCCTGCACAGGCATGGAAATTCTCTGGGGGAGTGGAAATGATAAAAACCAATCCTTAAGTATCTCACTCACCTTGAGAGACCTATTTGGGGTGCTATAACTCACTTCTGACTTGATGGCACATAATTAGCTGTCTTGTTATTAGTGAAGCTATTTAAACTGAA